CGGTATAGTTCGTTATAGACGTTATTAACTTAGTTAGAGTTACTAAAGGCTTAGTCTAGAATATCTAGAATATCTTAGTAGTTAGGTAGCTAGTATACTCTATCTTAGATATAGAGTAGAATCTAGAAGTAAAGCTATCTAGTAAGCCTACTAGTAACGTATACGCAATGACTTTAGAGAGTAGAGAATTAGTCTAGGTTAATAGTTAACTTCTCTTTAATTTAGAATATAAAGCAGTAGAGGTTCTTTTAATTACTATTAAACTTTTTAGGGTCTAGTAGTTATTTAGAAGCTTAAGAAAAGGCGAGAGATATAGTAATAATAAGTAGAGACGTTTATAGTATAGAATCTACTACTATCTTAATAGATAAGGCTAGATTATTCTAGGTCTTAGGGGTGGGGACTATTAGAGCCGTAAGAGTAAGAGCTTTCTTCTTCTTAATCTCTAACTTTATGCAGCGCTTATCTTTCTCTTAGAGCTATTCTTTCTAGTACTTAATTATAGTAAGGTACCTCTAGATCTATATCTCTATCTAGCGTAATACCTTATTCTTCTTATTAGTTAGAAAGATAGCTTACTACTTAAGGGCGTTAGCTTTTAGCTTAGCTTAGTTAGTCTTCTTCTCTACCTTCGCGACGGCGGAGTCTGTTTTCTTAAGAAGATAGTAGAACTCTTAGATATAGACTAGCTATTAGAGTAGATAGTTCTAGAACTAGTCTCTCTATAAGTCTTTAATAGTATTAGGTAGATAAGGTAGACAGGGGATAGGCATAATAGGTTATAACGTGCCTATAGGTAGGAGCTATATAATATTATAGTATAGATTTATAGATAGAGAAGATAGGTATATATATAGATTCTATTACTATAGTTAATTAATAGGCTCTTACTATAGGTAGTATAGAGTAGAAGATAGGACGTAGCTTAAAGAGCTCTCTAAACTATAGTACTATAGTTTTATAGAATCTAGGTGCTTAAGCCCGCACTCAGAATCTGCTAGCAGCTAATTAGAAGAATGCGCGCCAGCTGCCTCGCTGGCGCTATAGTCCTAACGGCTACCTAGGGGATTCTAGCCTTGCTAGGCACCTAGAAGCTGCCGGTCCGCTGCTATATTAGGCAGCGCCGTAACAATTAGCTTCTTATTCTTAATAGTTATAGCAGCTACGCTACGCTAGAGTTCAACTAGTACTACGCTAAGAATAAGATTATTACTCTCTGTATACTACCGTATACGTCGCATCTACTCTAGCTACTTAATATAAGTTACTTCTTGCCGCTTAAGCGCGCGTACGGACGCGAGGTTAAGAAGCTTACCTATAAAGGCGTCTACTACGTTAATAAGATAGACTTCCTTACAGCCTATACACGGATCTAGCTAATAGTATTTATATAGTAGAATATCTAGGCTAGCTTTTAAGTAATAGGCCTTATCTCTCTTTGTCTAGATTATATTCTATCGTCGCTTATAGTAGCCCAAACACTATCTCTACTATAGATAACTATAAATAATAACGCCGCAGCGTAGGCAGTATTATAAACAGAGACGCTACATACAGTAGCAGAGCTTTAGCAGCAGGTACGCTATCTCTAAGAGCGACTGCGCTACTAGCTAGAGAGCCTAACGAGCGTTGCGATACGCTAGCTTACTAAAAGCGCTTAGCTTATAATACAGTCAGCAATAATACTTATAGAGGAGAATAAGAAGCTACGTATAGAAGTTTAGTATTAACGATAAAAGCAGAGTTAGCCACGTTAATATATTGCTTCTAGTAGAGTGCTCTAGGTATAGTAGGCTCAGCAGCTTACTACAGAGGCAGAAAGGATGGTTATGGAGGCTAGCCAGAGCTAGGGTAGTGAGCGACGTTAGCGCGCGCCGCCAACGTATACGAAATGCTATACTTAAGGATATACTCAGACTTTATATAGAACTATATAAATAATTATTCTTCTAAATTTTATTAGATTTTATTACGTTATTGTGGCTAAATTGCGTAAAGCGTCGCGTTAAGTTTAGTGGGGTGCGCAGCTTACTAGGGTGCGCAGCTTACTAGGGTGCGCAGCTCACTAGTGAAGCACGTTAACGTGCGGGATCAGCGAGCTGGCCAGATCAGCAAGCTGGCCACCCCACACTACCTAATCCGACTCTTTTTACTATTAATCTATAACTACGTAATACAATAAGATAAAACTAAAAAATATAATTTATTATCTAGTTCTATATTAAGTCCTTCTATAACCTTAAACGTAGCACTTCGTGCACGTTAGCGGCGCGCGCTAACGTCGCTAGCTACTATCACTCTGCTCAGCCTCTATAACTACTCTTTCTGCCTCTGCAATAAGCTGCTGAGCCTGCTGTACCTAGAGCACCCTACTAGAAGTAATATACTAACGCTGCTAATTCTACTTCTATTATTAGCGCTAATTTTCTATACGTAGCTTCTTATTCTCCTCTATAAGTATTATTACTAATTATATTATAAGCTAAGCACTTTTCGCAAGCTGGCGTATCGCAACGCTTATTAGACTCTCTAGTTGCCAGCGTAGTCGCTCTTAAAGATAGCGCACCTACTACTAGAGCTACTCTACTATATATAGTGTTTCCATCTCTTCTGCTGTCTGCGCCGCTATCCGTAGTAATAGTGTTCTAGCTACTGTAAGCAACGATAGAACGCGATCTAGATAAGAAAGGACAAGGCCTGTCGCCCAAAAGTCTATCTAGATATTCTACTATATAAAAACTATCGGCCAGATCTATATATAGGCTATAAGATGTTAGAGATCTAAGCTATTCAGCTAATCTCTAAGAGAACCAATCCATCAATCTCTAATCTATGTTGGGACGATACCGATCCCT